AAAAAAAAAAAAAAGAAAAATGAAACAACGTTAGATTGAAAGAGGAAAGCTAATTTTACATAACTTTTTTTTTTTTTTTTAAGAAATTAGAATATCTGGAATGTTTCATCAAAGTTCAAAGAAATTAGAAAATACGTAAAATTTTGGAATCTTCAGGATCTCTCACGCATAGCCGTACTCGCTATTTTTCTAAAAGTCTAACGTCACGAACGCTCGAGAACGATGTGCTATGTCATAGTTGAATGGACGGAGGAAGATCGTAAGAAAAAAATCCTTCGTATTTCATGCTCTATCGGTTAACTTGGATGTCGCCGGTGAATCCCGGCCAAGTTGCTTTCGTAAAATTTCGAGCTTTGCCTCGAATATACTAAAGGGATCCACGCGCGTTGATCACTTTTCTTAGCTGGTGAATGCTTCTCTGATCTTCTACATCCTACGTGGCGCGCCGGCCAGTTTACGCTTCGAGGCGTCTGGCATGTTTTATGGAAGTCCATAAGCGGATACAACGGTCCACTGCATAGGCATTCGTATATTTAATTCATTTCTGACTTTATCTCGATGGTTGTTGCACCGATTCGAGATGCGCTTTATAACAGACAGAAGTTACGCTGTAGTTTTCTGCCAGTTTTTCCTTCGAACGTTCCGTTATCGCCGTTTACAGAACATAGAGCGATACCGTGCGATATGCATATGCACTTGGCTGCAAATTATATTTTGTAATATTCATCAACAAAAATGATGAGCAGAGGACGAGATGAAGCGGTCTAAAAATAGAAATTCCGTAGGTTCGTGTATATGTTAATGACTGATAACGGGAAGTTTGCAATTCGAAGTATTTATTTAACTCTTTTAAATGCAACATTTCGATGCATCATTCGTTTTATTAAACTTTTGATATACAAAAATATATTACTATATATTTTCCTTATATATTCCTAATATATCACTACTTTATACGTAAATCTCACTAGCATCAAGTAAAAAAAAAAAAGAAAAAAAAGAAGAACAAAGAAAGAAAATATATATATATTATATTACTAATCTTAGAAACGATGAGAAACGAAAATCTTTAGCGCGATATGCATGCACTTGGCTGCAAATTATATTTTGTAATATTCATCAACAAAAATAATGACGAGAGGACGAGATGAAGCGGTCAAAAAATAGAAATTCCATAGGTTCGTGTATATGTTAATGACTGATAACGGGAAGTTTGCAATTCTAAGTATTTATTTAACTGTATTTAACAGTACAACAAAATTTGAACTCTTTTAAATGCAACATTTCGCTGCATCATTCGTTTTATTAAACTTTTGATATACAAAAATATATTACTATATATTTTCCTTATATATTCCTAATATATCATTACTTTATACGTAAATCTCACTAGCATCAAGTAAAAAAAAAAAAAGAAGAACAAAGAAAGAAAATATATATATTATATTACTAATCTTAGAAACGATGAGAAACGAAAATCTTTAGCGTCCAAATATATATTCTATATATGTCTCTAACAGTCTCTAAACAATCACTTGTTACGACTTGTTAATCTGATTAAATAAAAATCAATGATTATAAAATTAATCGTTAAACTAAACAAGCGTTAAATATTCCTCGATCATCAAACTAAAAAAAAAAATATATAATAATAATTGTTAATAAGTGTTATTTGTACATAATTTTAATTCAAGTCGGGTTTCGTATTCTTCAAGAATACAACGTATACTTCGTTACGACGAAAATAAAAACTTAAATAACAATACTGCAACAAATAACACTCATACTTTATCACACTAGAATAACGTAATGATAAGAATGAACGGAATGGTTATAAACTCAGTTACTGATAACAGTAATATTGATCTTACAATTAGTTAAAAGGTACTGAAAAAGAGAATTGAGCTGCCTAATTCTTATTCTTCTGCGATAAACGTGCTGTTCTCAGATTCTGATTTGATTTTAAGCGGCGAATTAGGCGTGGTGGTGTCTGGACTTTCGGTACTCGAGTCACACTTATTATTATTTTCTTTATCGTCGTTACTAGACTTCTCGATTTTTATCTGAGTCTTGTCTCTTGATATTCTCAACTTTGATTTCTTATCGGGGTCGAAGTGATCTTCAAGAACGACTAATAAATCTGCAATTTTCTTCTCGTCAGTTGTAGTTAATTTCTCCTTGATTAACTTCTCCAAGCCTTCTTTCTTTCCATTATTCCAGGCTTCCTGTAACGCAAGTTTAAAGTTAGCTTTACACATCTCATTAGTTTAACTTCTAGTTAGACTTTACGATACAATTCCGATTGGAAGTAATGATTTCGTTTAATTTGTACAGACTTCTAACTGTGTATATTCTATTCCTGCTTCAGCGAGCAATCGACGTAAAGGACTAGCATGTTGTCGCTCCCGACGATTCACACGGAACAGAGATACGAAAATTGGTCTTAAACTATTTTGACGTTCGAATATCACTTTTAATTCTGAAATAAAATCGACATCTTATTAATATTATAGAGTATAATATTGTATTGTATTATATTTTATATAAATTGTATTGTATAATATTAATATTGTATATTAATATTATAGAGTATAATATTGTATAATTTTGTACAATTGAAACACGTGAACGTAATTCCTAATTTATTGACATTTATATACCTGCATATTCTTGTTCTTCTATTTCTACTGGCTGAACAAATTCTCTAATAAATTCAACAGTGTTTTTCATGGCACTGTCGCTATCACCACTACCATTTGTTTCATTCTCTTTTGCAACTTCCAGTGAACTTAAATGTTGTACTATTTGTAAGGCCAAGCATGCTCTGTCTTTTGCATTGTCTAATCGCTTCTCCTTGAATAATAACATGTCAAAAATATTGATATATTTAAAAATATATATTTCTTTTATAGAAGAAACTTTGCTTACTTCCTCAAATAAACTCTGAGATAATGTTCTAAGGGTAAACGCACGTACTGTGCCTGCACATTTTGTTTCAGCAACGTTAAATCCATTTGCGAATCCCTTTACAATTTGTTTAAATCTTTCCAGGAGATTATATTTCTTTAAAGATTCGATCAACATGGCAGGGATAACTTTACGTGGTTCGTGATAAACTAATATTATACCATCTGCTGCATCTCCTCTTATAGATGAGAGCCATGTTAAAAAATCTGTCAACGCAGACACCTCGCTTTTTGTTTTTAATGCCTGAAAAAGGATACAGGTACAGCCAAATACAGGTGAAATATTTATCTCTATTTGTATAGTGTTAACGACACTTGTTAATTACCTTATTAGTTTTATTGTCTTTGAGGACACGGAACTTTCCAATAGTTACAATTTTCATATTGTGCCTTTTCATGGCTGGAGGGTTAAGATCTTTATACGGCATCACATACTGAGAATATGAAGAACTAGGTGTGTATCCAGCTATTTGGCATATTTCATCTATAACTTTCTTCCCAGTAGTGTCCATATCCCAACCGACTAAACGATAGTTGCCTGGACCAATACCCACGGTGGTGAGCTTCTTCTGTGGATTAGCTTTTCCATTTTCCACTGCTATTGATAATACCATCTTTTGTTAAACTAATGATCTGTAATAAATATAGAGAAACTTCCATGAAATATGTATAAATATGCTCAAAGGATCAATCTGTAAATAGAGCGTAAAACAAATTTGATATTGGTTAATAATAAATAAATATTAATGTAGAGAATTAAGTATGTTACACTTTCGTTTATATACATATAAATCATACGTAATATATAATATTCGTACTAAATGATAACGCGACAATTTTCGTACAAAGTAAGAGCCACTCTCTCGAGTCTTTCTCTAGCTAATGTTTGGAACGAACATTCAGTTTTTGTACAAGGGCGAGATGATATTTTGGTACGTGCGTAGAGCAAAGTATACACGGTATCGGCAAGGTCGACCTTGAAATTCAATACAGTACACAAACACTTTAGAAGAAAAGATTAATAGCTTAAGGAGGCAGAGATCTAATAATATCGGAGCTAACATCTTACCTTCTACAACGAGAAGTTACAAAATTATTTATCAAAGGAAAATTATCTCCTATCGCGTGCGTCAGCTTCTCTTATCCAGTGGCGTTCGTGTAACGAGGTTCCGTGCCAAGAATGAGACGACAGAAATATTTATCGGAAGTAAACCGAGACACAGTGGCTCACGTCTAGCAAATTGAATAATATTAATGTCGGCAACGATCAATTTTTATCAGCACGACGAGCGATATCGGGGCAACGAGTGAGGAAAAAGTGTGAAAAAACGACACACTGCGTGGCAGTTGCTACCTAGCTTTGCAACAGGTGCACATCTATCACTAAGAAAAAAAAAAAAAAAAAAAAAAAAAAAAAACTGTAATGCTGCATAAATTCTTGCGATTCGGTGACGTCTACGCAACACGCATTACACACATCAGCTCGCGGCGATTCGTGTCACGTATGTAAAACAGATATTCTCGTTCGCACGTGGGTCGGCCACGACTCGTCGTACTTTTCTTTCCACTGGAGCTCGAATCGTTCGATTGCCTGCGTTTACTCACCGATCCGCGTCACACGGTTCTTTAGCTTTCACTGAATATATCTCTTGATACGACGATCGAGCCGGCGACAGTACTAGAAATTCTTCGTAGATACTGGAAAGCACTGGAACGCAACTAGATTCATTTGAACACACGTGCGAGATTGGCAGTAAACCGCCCGCTCGATTATCTGCGCATGCGTGCTCGATCACTAGTCACGTGGTTCTAATGTCACTACTGGGTGAAGGAGAGGAACTCTGCCAATTGTAGTTCGAGCACATTTGCTAGAACACGGTACGCGACATCGAATTGAAA